TAATGTTTTTTTTCCCCTGAACTATACATCGATTTGAACGATGAACAGATGATTTTTTCCCTCACGTTTATCCTGAATTTGAATTTGATGCCATTTTTTGCTACTTTATGGCTGGAAAAGCTTTGCACATTCATGCATATGTTTTTCTAAAGGGGGTAAAATGTCTTTTTATGTGAAATTTCGAAAATGCAATCTATGCTGTTATTTAGTCCTACAATATGCTCGTACAATTGTGACTGACTTTAATGTATGCAGAATATTCGACAGTACAACCTGAGCTTTCACTCAAGTCACGAAAACATGCATTTTAAGGGGAATTTTATAGCTTCCATTTGTGTGTTATGTGTGCAAGTTAACTAGGCATGATTTTCATGAACCATTTGTTGGCATGGTAAATAGCGTGAATTCATAGTAATATTAGATGCGTTGAGTTGAGTTGAGTTGAGTAAATTCTTCACCCTTTGTTATTCAATTTGTTAAAAATTAAAAAGGGTCATCCCGGCAAAATAATTACAATTTTGCAAATAATATTAAAAAGTGGGTTGCTTCCACAATCATCAAATCAAAGAGCAGCGCCAATGCGGATTTTCAACATATACATTTGAATTTGTTACAACACACTAAATGTATTAATGCACTATAAAACTAGATTGTGTGCTTTTTGTAACATCAGCTGAATTTAGTACGAGTAATTGTCGAGAGGTAGATTGTTTCCATATCAAATGAGCTACGAAACGAGATAGATTAGAATTTAGATAAACGAATAATAAAAGCACCCCAACGTACATAATTACATATAATCCTAGGATCCAAGATTCCTCAAAAAAACACACTATAAGTAAAAGCAAGAAAGAAGAAAACATGAATTATAATCTAGATACCTCTCCTAGTAGAATACATTACTAAAGCAGTAACCAGACTGAAACATGTGCTTTCTTTCTTTATATCCGTAGACAAAAATACTACAGACAGAAAAGAAAGCATGACTCAGTGCCAGCCTAAAAGAGAAAAAAAAAAAGAACAATGGATCTTTCTCATATCTCTCAGCACTCAATAAAATAATTGAGCCAACCCTCTTACAAATGAATGATTCCAAAGAAGAATTTGCATGAAATAAAAGATATCGAATCCAACCTTTTTCCTCGGGCTCTTGTATTCTTTCGTGATTCTTTGTAGATGAAAAATCCGTTTTCGAGTTCACAAACCACAATTCAAAGTTGGGATACTAGTATTATTGCAGAAATCATCACGGATAAAATAGATAACGCCCCTTGCAAAGGAAGTCTCTCCTGTAATTTAAACCAAAAAAAACAAAAACCCGACATTAACAAAACGTTTATAATGAATGATTAAGCGTAATGAAGTTGCTATCGGTTCAAAGATACGCAATTTAGCAAGAGAAGTTAAGTATAAGGTATCTCTAAAGCAATTCTGCAAAGATTTGAGTGGTCCAATGCCTTTTGCCATATTTGGAGATCTGTTATAATTTTAACCACCAAACCATGTATGTGGGTCATGGAGTTCTTTATTGATTGATTTTATGCAAAAAAGAATACCAACAATTAGTAAGAAAATAATGACATGACATGAATATTACTTGTTAATCCACCCTTTGTGTAATCCTTACATTAGTGGAGTTAGAATTTTAAGTCTGGAAATTATTCTGAGGGGGCCGTTAGTTCTATTGTACATAACATATTTCTATATAAATGAATAGAGATTTGAGAAATGTTGGGGGTCATGGCCCCGGGCATATAATGGCTCCGCCACTGCTCACATAATCATCATTTTGTGAAAACAAATTAAATTCCATCTAAAATATATATATCATGGAGGTACAATTTGAATTGGAGTGCCTCTAAAAGTTTTAATTTTCACACTTTCAAATTTGTGGCAAAATGGTAAATAGGGTCAATTAATTTTTATCTACTGCTTAATTAATGCAAAACAGATTTTCTATCTTTCTTTTTGCCCCTTTTAATTAATTAATAAATGGAATTCTCTTTTTTCTTTTTCCTCTATCCAAGAAAATTAGGCATTGGAAACTTGAAACTGTCAGTTAAAGCAATTTGTCCACAACAGTAACTAAAGGGTATATGTTTACTTTTTACCTAAACCCTAAATCCTGTGCTATCATGCGCCACTCCCAATCCTAATCCTACGCCTCTCCGATCTCTCTCCGCCGCCGGCACACATTAGTCACAAACAAATTGACAGACTAAGATAAAAATGGAGAAGGAAGAAATACTGACCGCGTCATCGGCAGTAATGGATAAGTAGGCATCGGAAGAAGTTCCGGTCACCGCCGGCGGCGGACCGGACGACGTCGCACCACTTCCCGAGCCGCCGCCGCCACCCGACCCCGTCGTGTTCGTGCTCAGCAAGCCTTTCGCATTAAACCCTAGATTATACACCGGAGTTCCGTCGGGCTTGAACAGGCCGAAATTCCTCTCGGAAGTCGGGCCGGGCTTCTGATTCTCGTTGAACAGAGCGAAAACGTGTACATCCAAATCCAAATTCGGCCTCATCGGCGTCCCCTTCTTCTGAGAAATCAGCTTAATCAGGTTCCCGTTGTACTTTCTCGCATTCTCCGGCGTCGCCCCGGCCTCATCGGCGTCGCCTTTCGACGGCCATCCAGTCTCCGATACCTGCAGGCACACGTTTTTGTAGCCGAGCCTCTCGATTGCGGAGTAGGTGGCGTCGATTTGGGCGTGGAACATGTTGTCGTAGTGCAGCGCCGAGACCTGGTCCACCGACGCCGATCGCGACTCGAACAGGACGAAATCGAGCGGCACCTGCTTCGGATTCGCCTTGTACGCGAAGTAAGGGTACGCGTTGATCGAGAACGGAGAACCTACTTTGCAGTGGAAATCGAGTATGCACGCCAATTTCTGCTTCAGATCTGACCGGAAAGCCCCGGCGGAGGGCGGGTACGAAACTTCTAGAATCGCCAAATTGTGTGAGGTGGTGACCGTGACTTGCTTATCTAGGTTAAGCGAAACTAGGGCGGAGTGGATTCCTTCCATGGCGGGGAGGAGGTCGGCGGAGAGGGCGGAGTCGTTTAGGGTTAGAACCTCGTTCCCGAGGGTAATGCAGGTAATTTTGGTCGCCGGTAAGTAGGGTTGGACGTTCGTTTTGACCCAGGCCTGAGCTTGCTTGGGGTCTCGGACTTTGGATAGGTACTCGTTTCCAACGCCGACGATGAACTCGACGCCGGAGTTGGCGAAGGCTTTGAGTACGCGGGGATCGGCGTCGTAGAGCTTGACGCGTGTGACGCCGATGGATTTGACGAGCGGTACGACTGACTCCGGGTGGGGGAGGTTGTTCGCGATCTGGCCGTAGTTTATTCCGAAGGCGGACGCCGCCGTGAAGAATAACGACGCTGCTGCTACAACAATAATATTTGATAGAATTAACGTGACGTCATCAGTTATCAACTTTTAAAAAAAAAAAAAAAATTACCTGAAGAATTAAAGTAAGCAATATACCTGAAAAGAGGAGCAGTGGTGATAATGTGGAGGAGTGGCGGAGGAGGTGGCTGCAGCAGTTCATTGTGTATAAAAATGGCGGTGAGCTTTTAGAGAGAGAAAGAGGAGAGAGAGAGAGAGTGATATTTTACTTGTGTGTTCAACTGTTGAACCCTGTTTCTTTCTTTAAACCTTCTCTTTCTGTGTTTTTGTTTTTTATTTTTATTTTTGTTTTAGTTTTTCTATGCTTAACTTGATATCAACTTTAAATTAACAACACATATACACGTTAACAACTTAACATATATTTAAGTTTCCAAGATCGCATCGCACCATAGTTTAATACTACGGAGTAGTATTATTTAGCGATTCGTAATGTCAATCATTGCTGCATTACTTTTTCTACCATAACTTCAATCCAATTAAAAAAAAAAATTGTTTATTATCAACTATTATTACAATACTCCACCCCTTTCCCAACTATTAAATACTCCCTTCATCCCATATTAAATATCGCTTGATTTGTTGCGTATAATTAACTACTTATCCGTTTCTAAATAAGTGTGTTTTTCACTTTTCACAAAGATTAAGAAATTCAATTAATGTAGATTGATTTTAGGAAAATCACATAAAAATGACTAAAACAACCTTTATCATTTAATAATTTATAAGAGAGAATTTATGTTTAGAGATGCATTAATAAGGTTAAAACAGTAAAAATGCATTTAATGCAGTATGGAAATCTAAGGTGACAGATAATATTTAACAAAAGTATTTTTAAAAAGAGACAGTTATTGTGTAATAGAGAGAATAATTAAAAAAGATAAAGGGCTAAAATATATAAAAAATGCTTTATTGAAATCCTAAAATAACAAATTATTTGGGAAAAAGAAAACCCCAAAAGATATATAATATAGGACCGAGGGAGTAACTGTTTTATGCTCTATTAATAACATGGGATGGCTTCTCAATGGACTTGGGTAGAGTGAATATTTAGGCAAAATGTGTGTTTATATATATGAATATACTAATAACAAAAAACGACACCGTTTTGAAGTTTTTCAGTTCGAAAAACGAAAACCGAATCAGTGGCTCATTTTTCGGTTTGTTTTGTTCACACCTAGTAACCCTAAACCCAACTTAAGTTTAAAATATCCAGATGATGTATAGTTGGGGGGCTCTCCTTATATTCTTTAGAGTGGGGACACTGGCTTGAGAATTGCGAGACTTTAACGAATGACTTCACATGGTTTCAATTTCCAATCGGCCAAACCCACCACCCAATAACCAATTTATATATATGCAGATAATTTTGTATATTCTCAATACGTTATCTTTTTTCATCTGTATTTCTATATCTAATTGGTTGTGTAACAGTGAGAAAAGATGATAGTGGAAGATGAATATTGAGGATAACAATAAACAATTCTGCAGATTGGAAAATAAATTGAACCACTGTAAAAAGAGCCTCCAATTTCTTTGGATTGGACATCTTTTTTGTGATACTTTTCTTGTATTTCATACTCCACTAGTAGTTTGTTGGTTGCTTGACATTCAAAAAACCTCTTGGATCCCTTCTCATTAGGGTGGAGGAGATTGGACGGAACGAGTAGAAAATAGCTTTGTCGAATTCTTTTTGTAAAGTTTTTTCCCGATTAATTCCAAACAAATCGAAATTCAAAAATCCATTCCGATTTCGAAATGACGCAGAATTGGCCGAATTTCGAAGATTCCAAACAAACAATCACTTTATTCTTATAAAATATCTTTTTTCCAACACCTTTAACACATGATTTGACTGCTACGGTGTATTTTGTCTCGTCTCAAAACATAAACAAACATTACTTTCATTATCAAATTAAATTATTCCCTCAACATATATTCCCCAAACTAAAATGGAAATAACTCCAGAAATGAATCGAAACATTACCATTACATATTTTGGAAAACAATTGGAATATTCGGAACTAAAATTGGATCGAAAATTAGAATTTCAAATAATTTTATATACAATTTTGTTTCTGCTCCAAAAAATTGAAAAAAAATCGGAAATCGGAATGAAAAATACAGTTCCAAATTCAGACATTTTTGGATCATAATTGGCGGACGGAAATTCCATTTCAACTCCACCCCTACTTCTCATATTATATCATTAATATAAATATATGTATATATATATACATTCATTTAAGAAAATCTCTTTTTACACAATTGACATAGATTGCAAATATACAACAGTGCAAGGACAAAATGGATGATCAGACAAAAAATATATGTTCAAATCTGGTTCATTGTGTCGACGAAAACAAAGGTCACACATCTTTTCTAATGATCGTTCTTGAATCGAGTATCTATGTTTGATTTTAAACCCTACTCACACATGACATAATGAATTTGATTTATTTATAAATTGAAAAATACAAGGCCTAACAGTCATAAAATCTCAATGTTCTTCTTAAATTACTCATATCAGAACTGCCATTTATACACCTTCTGCCTGTAATTTAGCAGTAGAAGATGTTACTGTTACACTTACCCAGTATTAGACCAGGTCCGAATTGCATGAAAACACAAAACAGGGGGAAGTATAAAGTCAATTTCAATCACCAATCTTTTTCGTTTCTCTTTTCCCATCATAGAACCGAAAGAAAAAACAAACCCTAAGACGAGATGCTGATCAAAGAAACTACTGAAAAAAATCTCCCTATGTGGATAGATCAATTATAAAGTTCCTACATTTAATTCGTGTAACCATGAACAATTGTCATTTGACTATCAAATAAATTAAAATCACGTCAAGGGAATGATTTTTACAAGATCAAGGACCCAAAATAAACGGCGCGAAGAATACAACAAAGCATCTGAGAATTAAGCTCGGTACCGCTTCAAATCAACTAACAGAACAATTTTGTATATAAGAGTTAACAATTAAGAAGCCAAGGTACATAGATCTAAAAAAAAAGGAGACAACACGAGTATTAACCTAAACAAAAGTCAAGGGGTACCATGGAAAACTACCATCCTTGAGTTAAATAATCGTAAAAAAGCCTACACTTTTACATAAGTTCATTATTCTCCTCAACATACACAACGAGAAGGCAAGATATCCATCACTTTGACTCAAAGTCAAGAGCCACAAAATAATCGATCCGAGCCATTCACATTCTCACCCAAAAAATAAACATGTATTACTTTCTTGAAGAAAAAAAATAGCCGAACATTTTGATTATTCACCTGTGGGCGGTGATCAGTGTCTCTATGAACTTCAACCCATCGTACTTCGGAGCGAATTTTCCCTTCTCCGAGGAGATTGGAGGTGAATTTACCGATTTTCCCTTCAAACAAGAAGATAAAGAGAATACATTATTAGATCAAGCTTAAGAAGAAATCGAACTACCGGACAAACCACAGAAACGATTGGAGCTACACAACGATTTCATTGCTATCAGAACATAAAATTCAAATATAATTGGGATTAAAATAACAAAAAAACGGAATTAGTGCTCCTGAATAACAATTAAGGCCAAATTACAGAAAATTGAAAATTACATATCACCAAATCTTTGAAGAACAAAAAATGCCATTGAAAATTTATGCAAATCCAATTATGCAAAAAATTCATTCTAATTTAGGACCATTGAAAATTCTCCATGAGTTGACCCAAACACAGAGCTTAAAGACTAAAAGGAATTTCGAATTACATATCACCAAATCTTTGAAGAACAAAAAATGCCATCTTTATTTACGCAATTCATGACACAATTGGCAAAATCTCCAACTACATGGGGGCAAAACGGTAATTACCTGATAAGTACAGGAATTGATTGAGATGTCACGGTCACCGGAAATGGAGGAAAAGGAAGTAACGGCGGCGGTGGAAGCGGCGACCACCGATGCGACGAGAGTCAAAGAGGCCTTCATCTCTCCGCCGTCTGATCGGAACAATCTCTCTACAGAACCGGTAGATCTATACAAACGGAGCACCAAAACGGAATGGGCGAAACCCGACGAACCTCCGTCGCCGGATCTCGACCTAGATTAATATTTACCCTTTTGTTCGGCTGTTGCTTTATTTTTGCCGCTTTTGGGGGTCTAATTACTAATTATATGCGATTCTGCTTCGTGAAGTAACTCACACGCTCTCCTCGAGTAAATAATATATGCTGCCCCACATTATGGCTCAATTACATTTAACCCCCTGAACTATATATTTCTTCACATTTTAACCCCAAAACAATATCTTTAGGGTAAATTACAACCACCCCTGAGGTATGGTTAAATTACAAAACCCCCTCTTGTTTGGGTAGTTACAACCACCCCTTAACTATAAATCTTCTTACACGTCCATCCTTGCGGTTTCAAATTTAGTGGAATGTTCGAGATTATATGGAATATTATCGCTTTTGTACCTGTTTTATCCCATTCAGGGCCGGTTCTGAGGGGAGGGGAAGTAGGCGGTCTCCTAGGGCCCCCGGATTTTTTCAAAAATTTAGGGCCCCCAAATTTTTTTATACCCTTTATATATGAACATTTATTGAAAAAAAAATATATAATATATATATATATATTGAGAACTTTAATTCATAAATAGCTATATATCAACAATTCTTACTTATTTCTAGAATTCCTCTAATCAGGGGCCCCTAATTATTAAATTTAAATTTGTAATGAATTAGTTATTTACTTATATATATATATATATATATATATATATATATATATATATATATATATATATATATATATATATATATATATATATATATATATATATATATATATA